ATTTTATTATTTCTAAAAATATCCTTGTTAACACAACACTATTTCTAGAAATGTCTTTGATCCACACAGAAACACAGAAAATGATGTAGCGGCCAGGACTGTATGTGGCACCATAACACTGAAATACACCAGAAACAGGAAACAAGGCGTGACCCTAACCTTAAAGCTTACGGGTTGGGTAGACTGTAAATTTATAAATCATAGACTGTGTTATGGGCCGAGGCCATTTGGTTTTCATAAAACTATGCAGTTGCAGTTTGGTGATTTGCTGACCAGCTGTGCAGTAACCCATCTAAGATTGGCTGGCCTCTCCTGACCCCTACCAGTGGACATCCCTGGGCATTGTGGTTGGATTGTTCTTCAACCACTGAGGAGACTCAGCTATTTGAGTCCAGCTCTCCTGCCAATAAAGGCGGCTGTGATTTAGCAGCTCTTTCTCCTCTGTGGTCCACACTGCTCTCACCCACCTGGAGCAAAAGGACACCTACGTCTGTATGCTCTTTGTGAACTTCACGTCTGCCTTCAATACCATGTACCCCCAAACCCTGATGGACAAACTATTCACACTAGGACTAAGCCCCTCCATTTGGAACTGGGTCCTGGACTTCTTAACAAACAGACCACAGTCCATGAGAATCCACAATTTCTCCTCCTCCACCACAACCCTCAGCACTGGCTCCCCTCAGGGCTGTGTGCTGAGCCCTCTCCTGTTCACTCTGTGTATGCAAGACTGCACATCTACCCATCCAGGGTAGAATACCTGGAGAGCTGATGCAGGAAGAACAAAGTTCACCCCCCATTGGAAGATCTGCAGTGGAAGTGGTCTCCAGCTACAAGTACTTGAGTTTGCACCTGAATGACAACCTCAGCTGGGGCACCACAAGCCTGATCAAGAAAGCTCATCAGAGACTCTACTGCCTCAGATGGCTGAGACGAGCTGGACTGGGAAGCTCAGTCTTCACCTCCTTCTACAGGTGTGCAGTGGAGAGCATCCTGTGCTCCAGCATCAACGTGTGGCATGGAGGCTGCACAGATGCAGAAAGAAAAGCTTTGCAGAGAGTGGTGAAGGCTGCACAGAAAATGTTGGAGTCAGACTCCCCACCATCAAAAATCACATCATGTTGCTGCTGATCTATTTCATGTTGATGTGTTCATGTGAGCTCATCTGCTCACACAGACTCATGTTCGTGCTGCTGTTCAGTGTATTGTTTTTATGCTAGTCATGCTTAGTGTATTTTTAGTTTAACGTTTTTATTAGTTCCTATCTTAGATCTTATTACTGTTTTTCTTTTTACATTTTATACTTTTGTTGGATGTAACTGGGACCCTGTGTACACAATTTTGTTCCACCACATGTACGAAACGTGGTGTGTATGACAAAAAGAACCTTGAATCCTTGAATTCTTTATTTTGTATAGGTGCCTTGTCGTGGTAAAATGGTTGGCCTTGGCTTAGTTTGACTCTGCTAGGTTTAGTTGAACAATTTGTGGTGAAGAGTTTGGTTTTGAGGTCTGTCTCTGTGTGTCCACTGCTGGACTGATGGTGTAAGTTTCTGAAGGCAGGTGCAGAAGTCCTCCCTGTGAGAAGCCATGATTAACGTTTTGAGTGATTTTGGGTTGAGGCTAAGAGCTTTGCTTTTTGATTGTTTGTTTAAAAAGGTTGTTTCATTTAATTTTTGTCCTACTTTAGTTTTCTTTTTTTACTCAAGGTTGTGTAATTTAGCATACAGTGTTTTGTAATATACAATTTAACATAATTGTTTGATTTTATTTTGTTGGTAAATAACTTTTGTTAATCACAACATATTTCCATCTGGGTTTAATGTTACCTCCCATTTACCTGGCTGAGCCGGGTCATAACAACTGTATGTATATTATACCGTACAGTCTATGATTTAAACTTTAAAGACAACAAGAAGAAAAGATGAGTGTGGTGAATTCAAGAACAATTAAATGAATCCTTTTTGTAGACTGCTGCCAAAACAAAATGCCTACTTTGTGTCACATTAAACTACAAAACCTCATAAGTTCAGGACAGTGTTGAGTGGAAGTGGTGTCATTTCAAATATGCAGCCATAATCAGAATCATGATAAGAAGTAAGTTTTTAATCCCAAAGGGAAACTCACGTTTTGAAAGAGAAGCCTCTGATAAAATCTAACAGCTGAGCAAAAGTAGATAAAAAAACAAGATAAAATAATGTAAAATGAAATTAAAGAATAAGAATCACATTAGAGTTGCACTCGGGCCTAAAAAAATCCGACCCGGCCGGAGCTCATAGGCATTTTGTCCGAGCCCGACCTGACTAACTGTAATTAGAGGCCTGACACCCCCCCCCCCCCCAAAAACCCCAACTTTTTTAAATTAAGTTTTTACTGCTTTTATAAGAAAATTGGTTTGACATGATAGTTTTAAAATGTATTTCAAAGAAAGGAAGACATTTCTTGTTTCACCAAATGGATATTAACATACAAAACAATTAGCTTTAAAAAAATCAACAAGATAGGCTATTATACAGATGAACAAAAATATTTTTAGAGCAAAATTATTTGGAAAAATATAGAACAAGACTATTTTAATTGGCCATGCTGTTCGCTTCGGCTTTTCTAGATGCTGCAACTTCCTTCACCGCATATGACAGCAGGGTGCGGAGCGAGATGCGCGTGGCCGATGATCCGGTTGTCCGTCTGAAGTTTATCGGGACATTTTCTTTACCTCTTTCAACCAGCCGGTCAGCGGACACGTGCAGCCGATGATCCGGTTGTCCATCGGGAGCTTAACGCAACTTTTTTTTTTACCCGTTTCAACCGGCCGGTCGGACCTGAGCGTGCACCTGACCTGACACACATCAGCAGGTTTCACTGTGCTGGCTTTGTAGAGTGAGTGCTCCCATTTTTAGCTTTTGTTTAATACTTTCCAGCTCCATTATGTCACTTGTTGTGGGTCGTTGTGGGTCAGATGTGTCATAAGAGCAAAAGGCGGGCGGGGCCACATGCACAATTAAAACTGCATCAAAAGCCCGAGACCGACCCGGCCCGTCCATCAAGCACATAATTTTGGCCCGACCCGGACTCAATTTCGGGTCGGGCACGAGCTCGGGCTCAGGCCAGAAATCGCAACTGTAAATCACATACAAAAATTATTCAAATGTAGATAATGGTTTCCTATACATCTGTACATATGAAGTTTTTGCTGTAGTTAAAGTAGCATCTGCAACACAAATGCAGGCATGTACACCAGGGCTATTCAACTGGTGGCCCAGGGGCCAAATCAGGCCCACTGGTGATCTCAGTTTGGCCCATCAATGGGTTCATTTTTTAATAAAACTAAAACAAACTTACCTAAGGACAATAACTGCTGGATGTCTGGCCCCTGAGCTCCTGGCTTCAGCCCCCCAAGCAATTTAGTTGAATAGCTCTGATGTATGCTGTCATTCTTATATTTGTCACTCATGGGTTTGTAGATTATATTAGACGTGAAACTATGACATCGTAGTTTTAATAAAGGGTCTACACAAAATACATGGGTGGCTTTTAGATGTTTTTTTTTTCATTCTGGTACACAGTTTAGAAAAATAAAAACAATAAACAACATTTAGGAGCAACTGAGATGTAGTTTCTGTGTGGATGCAAGACTGAAACAATAAAAGCATTTTACACATTCACAACCAACATTCCTGTGTGGACCGGGCCGAGCAACACCTTGTCCCGTAGGCACAAGACAGTTGTTATTTAGTCTCTAGTTTTTCAACTGTACAACTGTGTTGTTATAAACAGTTGCATGCAAAATGGCTGTTTGAAGTTTTCAATGCTCAACTTTGACTCTGTCTAATCTCAACCCAACAAGAGTGCAGCAAATGGCGCTTTATACGTCCACCAACTATTAAACAGCAGTACAATCTATAGCAATGGCTCAGGTAAACAAAGACCTTGTAAAACCTTTGACCTTGATCTGTGACCTTGACCTTAGAGCTGGGTGATGAAAAGTGTCCACAACCCTCCATCATGTGATGATGCATATCTGAATCAAGTTTCATTAAATTATCTTGAGTGGATCAGATGTTAAGGGCAGGACAAGCAAAGACCTTGTTTTAACTTTGACTTGACTTTGGAGCTGGGGTGATGATGTGTACGCAATACTCTAGAGGTGATGCATATATGTATGAAGCTTTGTTCAAATAATCTGGAGTAAAGCAAACGTTATGGGCAGGTCAAGAGAAAGTTTACGTACGGATGGACAAAAACTACACCATTATGCATTCGCCTTTCAATGGGCGTATAAAATAAAAACTAGAAAGATGGTAAAAGTAAGAGATTATATAAGCAAAATCTACATAACATATATCTGGAATTAGCAACACAGACATTGTTCAGTTAAGAGTGGTTGAATCTTGTATTGAGAAGCTTTTAGCTTGAATCCTTCGTGAGAATTTCACCTTGAATCTTTAAGCTGAAGTTGACGTCCCTTTAAAAAGGATATGCTTATGTCATCATAGTAAAGTAAGTAGTAAGAGCTATGTGTTGCCATCATTGTATGTTTCTATACAATGACGAAACGAGTTTTCTGCATTTAACCTATCACACATAAGATCCACCCAGGTGGAACAGTGGGCAGCTATGTCAGCACCTGGGGAGCAATTGGGGATTGGGTGTCTTGCTCAGGGGCACCACGACATGTGGGAATGGCAGGCAGTCAAACCGCTACTTTCTGGTCCTAATTTGGCTGCCCTACCGCTACACCATCTCAGCCTCATCGCCTGTGGTTAGATGTACCAGCAGGCCATCAATGGACCACTGGTCTCGGACTATTTTGGCAGGAAATCAGGATTGATTTAATATTAGGTCATAATGTCATAAGGTCATAATGTTATGGCTATTATTTCTCTTTGAATAAAACTCAGTGAACAAAAACAAAGTACTGGTAATTAAAGAATCCAATTCAATAGTCTTATAATCACGGACGATGGTGTAAATCACAACACTGCAAAGCTGTTTATATCTTACCCCTTTGCCCATTAATCCATTGTTGAATGGCAGGCCAATAAAGTGGAATGCAGCCTCTTGGATAAAGTAGGGATTGAGGATTCTCAGCTCCGTCGGCTCCCGAGGCACACGGTGGGCTACAGACTTCCAGAAGCCATCCAAGCCCCCCTTGAGAGTTAAAGAGGAAACAGAGAAGACAGAAAATTGTAAGTCAGTCATCTTTAACATCAGAGGTAAACTATGTTTTGTCTTTGCAAGAAACACAATAGAAAACTGGCACATGGCACCTCCGCTGGGAAAAGCCAAGTAAAATTTATCAAGCAAACATGGATGTTGGATTGTCTTTTCTAACAGTGACATAAAACATGGACACCAACCATGAGCCAGACCGCTTCTACGATTCATTAAGGAAATGACTTTTTGGCCTTTTATGGATAAAGTATGGTTGCTAACAGGCCATCAGTAATTATGACCTGTCAAAAAAATGTGAGTCTGTGAGTATTACAGCTGCTCTGGAGCCATGCAGAAACCACCTTCAAGCTTTGACTGATGTAGGAAAAAGGTCTTAACCTCTTTTATAAATCTTACCTATATGATGTATTTTTCACTCACTGGTGTTGCATTTTTTTACATCTTAGAAAACTATGTTTCAACAAAGTCCAAGTATTCCCAGGAATACTGCAGATTTAAAGGGGTTAAATCATTTTATTAATAAACAGCATTTTTGTGTTACATACTAAAGTAAATTCCCTCTACAATTAAAATACACTGACGATGTAAAATAAGATTTTCTTATATAATGTTTGCATTCAATTTTATGTTCATAATTTTATTTCAGTTCAGTTTATTTGTATAGCATCAATACACAAAATTATTTTCTGGGGCTTTAATTCCAAGAGAAGTGTGTTCAACCAAAAATATAGTCACAGTTTAAGTACAATTATAATTAGTGCGTACATAGCTAAACATCTAAAGACATCAGAATTAGGCAAAAATGTCAGGTTCAATAAATCCTTTAGCCTGAACACAGATTTATGATTCAAACTGAAATTATGTGAAGTTTCTTTAGGTGTTGGAAGATGTGCAGCTTGGAAATCACAAAACCTCAAACTGTATCCCTAGCTAACATCTGCACTCAAACAAGGCATTGGAAAGGAAATGGTTCAAACCCCTCCCTGACCTCAGGGTGTTCTGAAAGGCCCCAGGTCTTTTTACACAGGGCAATCATCATCAATCGCTAGGACAACCTGTCAGACGGGCCAGCGACACCACCTGAATCAGGTCATGCCGTGCTAACGAAACACTTGTTTAACTCAGTCCTAAAACAACACCCACTGGATGTTACGGAAATGAGACACTCACAGAAAGAAAAATGCCTACAAAGTGTAATTTAATAACCAAATTTGGCCTTCTAAACTTTAGAGACGAGATTACACCTTGGCTTAATTCCAATTCCACCTTTATGCTCTACAACTAAGAAGCAACTTACAGTTTTCCTGTTTACTCAACAGCATGACCTTTGTGGTAAAAATAGAGATGCAGGTAAATTTGTTGGTATCCTTACATTTCAATGAACTATGCTTCCATTTAAGAAAAAAGCAATTCATTAAAAGTAATTTGTTCTTCTTCTTTCAGCTGTTCCCTTCTTCAGGGGTCACTACAGTGAACTAACTCACATGAAGACTTGACAATTATTTTTAGTCCGGAAGCACCTTCCTGACTCAACCACAGACCACCGAGCTACCACAGCCCTCTGTGTGGAGCAGAGAGCTGCCATCTAGTGCACCTGGGGAAGCAGATGGTGGGGGTTAAGGGCCTTGCTCAAGGACCCAGTGTGGGGCAAAGGAAGGTGGAGGCAGGTGTGGGTGTTTCACCTTTCCCACCCACATTTTGATGTTGTCGGTTTGTGGAGTTGAACCGGCAACCTTCCAATAACAGGCTCACCTTCTTTAACCTCTGCTTCACCACTCCCCCTTTTGAAAAGTAATTAGCTAATTATCAGATGGAATTATTAGACTGAAGAAGTCTTTCTGATGAAAGATGAAACGTTTCTACGTTGTTTTTTTTTTGTTTTTTGAACCCGTCCAGAGGACCTCACTTAACATTTTTAGGTAATTATCTAATGTACATTAAATTTGTATGACTTTAGTGTATGATGGAATAAACAACAATCTGGAGCTTTATGGCCAGTCATGTAATGTGATCGGCCTCAAGCCACATTAACGTCTTAAATCATTTCAAATTAGCAAGAGGTTGCAGGCCTGATTTATTTTTATTTTTTTTAATTGAGTACATGTAGCCCAAAATTTTGTGAAATACACATGGGTACTATGTGGGTATGTATAAAAATCCCATATAAGTGGTGCATTCACTTAAAAAGACTGATTAACTGCAAAGAGGACTGCTAAATTGAGTTAATTAGTCATGTTTCGAAAGCACAGGAGGGATACATCTATCATGTGTTGCGGTACACATCAACACAGCTGAGTTTTGTTCAATGCCCCATTTGGTTTGGCGACTTTACTTCATTTTAGAAAGCTTCCATCTATGTGTAATGGCCAGCATAAGTAGTGATTAAGAACAGTCAGAGGCAACTTTAGGACAGACTGATCTATGTAGTCATTTTGTGGAACCATTTTGTGAAACTGCATTCTGGCTCCAAAAACACTATATGCCATCCATCCATCTTCTACTGCTTATCTGTGGTCAGATCACGAAGGCAACAAGTCCATAAGAGAAACCCAGACATTCCTCTCCCCTGTGGCATTCTTCAGCCTTCCTCAGGATATTACATCCATCCATCCATCCATCCATCCATCCATCCATCCATCCATTATCTTTACCCGCTTGTTCCATTTTGGGTCACGGGGGTCGCTGGTGCCCATGTCCAGCAATCACTGTGCGAGGGGCGGGGTACACCCTGGACGGGTTGCAAGTCCATCACAGGGCCCAGGATATTACAAGGTCTGCCAAACCAGAGAAGATAGATAAACCCTCCTGCGAGTTTTGGGTCTGCACTAGGGTCTCTTCCCAGCAGGGGATGTCCAGAAAACCTCCAAAGGGAAGCATCTCAGAGGCCTGAATCACTTCAACTGACTCCTTTGGATGCAAAGGAGCAATGGGTCTACTCTGAGCTCCCCCCAAAAGAACAAACACCTAACGTCTAAGGCTGAACTCCAGCACCTTACGAAGAAACCTCATTTCAGTTATTTGTAACCAGAATCGTTGTTTTTGTCATGATACTCACCTCATGATGAGAGGTGAGAGCTGCAATGTAGACAAACCAGTAAATTGAAAACTCTGCTCTTCAACTCAACTCTTTCTTCACCACAACACAACACACTTATTAATACAGATGACACCCCAATCATTCTATCCACATCCCACTCCATCCAACAGTCACTCTTCAACAAGACTTCAAGATACTTGAACTCCTCCAAAGACTGAGTGTAAAGACATATCTGACCTAAATGGAGCTAAATTGTACATGCTGTATGCACTGTATTCCAGTGCATGCTGCAGGACATACAGTAGCCTGGAGACGCCAACAGATCCACATGATCTGCAAAAAGTAGACACAAGACCCTGAGGTTTTCAAACCAGAGACCCTCCTTTTTACAACTGTACCTTGAGATCCTGTCCAAGACCACCACAAACAGAACCGGAGAAAATAGACAACCCTGGCAGAGTCAAAACTGAACTGAAAACAAGCTCAACTTTGTGCCAGTGATGTAGACACAGCTCTTGCTTTTGTTATACAAGGACCAGATAGGCCTTAAAGGTGACACTGGGATACTCCTGCAGCACCCATCACAGAATGTCTCAAGGAACACAGTCATAAGCCTTCTCCAAATCCACAAAACACATGTAGAATAGAGAATAAAATTCCCATGACCCCATTAGCTTCTTTATCCTTATCTTGCAAGAGTAATAATATGGTCCACTGTTGTAAAACCTGACGGAGCCAATCTGTCCAATACCCTGGAGTAAACTTTCCCAAGGAAGCTAAAAAGTGTGGTCCCTCAACAGATGAAACACACTGTCTGGTCCCCATTTTTAACATGGAAATCAATATTACAGCCTGCCATTTTGCAGGCTTGACCCATTTCTCCATGAGACATGTCAACCACTACAGCCCCTCGATGTCCAGAACCTTTAGCATCTCAGGGCAAATCTTGTCCAGCCATGGCACCCTGATACCTGCGAGGTTTTAAACTATCTCTGTGAACTCTACCATTGTAATAAACTCATCTTATCCCATTCAGATTCTGCTGCCTAAAAGAGATTGCTTGCCTCTTGGAAAAAAAAAAAAAAAAAAAAAACTAAAGTAAAGGCCATTAAACCAGACCATGGATGAAGAAGGGAAATTTAAAACATTGGTGTTGCATACAAAACAGTCTGTCGCCAGGCAGTTTATTGTGCAACACCTAATACGTGGCCATCCGCGCGAGTCTGTGGGAGCCTTTACGTTGATGGCACCCCTCAAATTTGGTATGATAATTTTAATAGAAATTAGGGCTGGACAATAATTCGATATCAATACATGTCATGACATACTTTTATTCAATAACGGTAATATGCATTTCTTTTTCTGTTCGGGTTAAAGCGGCCGCTTCAGTTTCAAACCAAACAGAAAAAGGTGCAACATAACTAAGTAAGTGCGTAGTGACGTAGATGTTACGCAGAGCTCGAGTCCAGAAGGTGTTAGTAGTAGCAGGCTAGGCTAATCTACAACGCGTGTTAAGTTTTGGCGTCAAAACGAGTGCCCATGACCGTCAAGAGTGCGACTCAACAAGATTTCACAAGCGAAGAGAAAGCAGATGACATAACCGATAAGAGAAGAAAGACTAATTTGGTGGTGCGGAAGTGGTTCGGCTTTCTAAGATCCAATAAACTGCAGGTTTCAGTGTGCTGCAAAATGTGACGAAGAGTCGTTCCAACTAGCGGTGGGAACACATCTAACTCGTTCCACTATCTGAAGTTTCCACTCAATAGAATATGCTGAGAGTCAGAAGATGAAGCACAATAAAGTTTGAGCCAACGTGTCCCTGAAACAACACCCCCAGCTGTATCAAAAGAGAAACCCATGCAGCAGAAGTTTGCTGCATGGGTTGTTAGGTTATGTTGTTGTTTAAAGTTAAAACTATTACTACTTGACAAAGTTGAGA